CGATTGCCGGTCCGCACAACCTCTCTATGAATGCCTGCACTCGCAGTCTATCCCTCACTGATAGCACTCGTCTACGCGACGACATCAGTGACAATACCAGTGCCAGTGGCTTATGGGCAGCCTTAGTGATCCAGGTACTCATTACATTCATAAATACTACAAGCGCTGCTCCTAATATTACAATGTTTATATATATTAGCCTCAGATCCATTGTAGCGGCAGGGTGGTGTGTCATGTAAATAATTAGTTGTATAGCCAATGTGCCAAAATAGTAGATGAGGAAAGTAATGCACCGGAAAAAGTGGTTCAACCGTTTGGTCTGTATTTCCCAATAATGGTGTTCAACGATAGCCGCCATTAATAGCCGTTTGTTATCGTATTTAACNTTGGTCTGTATTTCCCAATAATGGTGTTCAACGATAGCCGCCATTAATAGCCGTTTGTTATCGTATTTAACACTCAATGCTATCTTACGGCAGATCTCCAGGTATTTGTGTTTCAAATAATAAGTGGTTGCAAACCATTCAATGAAACCAATCAAACATATCGCAATACTAGGGACCATTGTTAGAATATATATTATATTAAATATGACCATGATTAATAATTTTAAATATGAAGGTCCCTCATTAAACGATCGATACGTTTCCACAGCATTAAGTAAAGTCGGACCCAAAACTAATAAGACATATGAAGGTCTTATATTATACGTGAATAACCTGGATATTATTTGTAATAACTTTCGCTCCCTTGCTGAATTTAATGGATATTGAATTTTTGAATATTTCAATTCATATAACCAGTTAATGATGTAAAATGTATTTGTTTTAGATTGGTACATGGTCACGAATCCAATTAATAAATATACTAAAAACGAGATGGCAAATGAAGTATATATAATAAATTTAACCTTTATATGTTTCCAATCAAGCATTAGATCCAGGAGCCAGGAATCTGATACCAGTGCCAATACTGTAAATCTTATAACAGTTAAAATTGTTGCCACCTTGGTCACCCATAGCATGACATTGCGCCATTTATTTGGTTTAATACCCTGTACGTATTCATCGAAAGTAGTATATGAGGTAACAAACGTATGGTACCTAAGTTTCTCCCACCTCCCTAATTCAAGTTTTATATCAGGGTTAAATCGGTGATTGTTTTTCCATTGCTGTACACGTCGCGACAAATAAGTATTTGACATTTTTGTTGTATATTTACAATTTTAATATACTGTATAATATATATAAAATATATATAGATATTAAATTGTGTAAGTCCTGGGCTTTTATATACTACTGAAAACAATTGCAAATTACATATGAGATATAAGTGTATTTTGAACTTAATTTAGTATATGACCTTAATGATTTATTGATATTATTAAATCAGTATATCGATATAAACAAATTTGTGGTATTCACTAGACATAATACAGTGTATATATATAATGATGAATTCATAATAAATCATCTAATTACGGTATTACGTGACAAATACAGTAAATCATTTCAGTAAAAATATTTATATGAATATACAGTTTTATTACGAAATACATAATGATAGTTCATAGTACTTGTATTGTATTGGTATTATATTTTATGTCATACATTATTTATAAATAGTTTTTAATATATTTCATAATATCTACTTAATGTATAAATAATGATTTTAAATTTATATATTGTGTATTACGTATGTTATATAAATAATTATGAATAATTTTAATTTTAAGAAATTATAAATAATAGTTATTTTGTTAGAATAGATAACTTATAACTATTATATTGGTTTTTATTATATAAATGGTTTTTATTATATTTTATTATAATCTAAAATTATTAAAATATGCTAACAATACTAATTTTCACATCCTATTAGATATTACAAAATGATAAATTAATATATTGAAATATGCCATTTATAGTAAACATGTTTTTCATAATAGATAACTGTTATTATAAACGTATGTATATCATTTAAATTTTTCCCACTGATGAAGTAATACATGATCTTCAAAACTATTTAAATGAACATGACAGATCAATATATTATACTTATATGCCTTGAAAAAGAAGTTTATTCTTAAATATAATAAGCATATTAAATTTGGTTGATTATAATTATAAAAATAATTTTTATACTAATTACAAATTTTTAATTGACATTGCATATGAGCAAAAAATTATTGCCAATAATTAACAATACAAATACCTAGGGAATTTTTGATTTATTTACATGACATAAAACCATTATTTATGTTTTATTTTGCTACTCAATATTTAGTTAAAAACTTTTTTATTTACTACCATTGTATAAATATATTGTTAATTTTACTGCACATATTTATTTGATAATTTGCAAATAACTATTAGATTGTAAAAATATAATTAATTGATATTATTATTTGGCAATATTAATTAATTTATTTATTCTAAATACTAGTAATATAAATTAGAATGCACAAATATTTTAATCACACTTTAATTAACAGTACTTATAATTAGAATTTATAAATTTTATTGAATTCTATTCACCAAATAATCTAGCTGACTATCAATACTTGCGTAAACATCAGGCAATGAACTATCAATGTTTGGACAGCTATCAAATGTTATTGGCCCAACACCGGCTAATTTGCCAGATACCACTAATGGGTTACCACCAAAATTACCCTGTTAATAAATTATAAATATATTTTAAAAATTAACCTGATGGCTATTACTATAATACTAAATTATATATATATAAAATTTATACCAATGGTACTAACCAATCATATAATGTTAGTGGCGTGTATCGAAATATTTGCATACATATGGTTTGGGTTAATGCTATTCTATACAACCATTTATTATATCAAGCACATATTTCAAGAACGGTCATATAAAATAAATTACCAATCACAAATCACCAATAATAACCACCATCAATTAATCAACAATATTTCACGACATAATTACTGGGCATTGGTAACCAGTGACTGCAATAGCTTTTTCCGATGTTGCCTAGGTGCAATATATTTTATCACTACCATTGGCATCGAGTGTATGATATATTTGATAACAAAACCGCATACCAGTGCTGTAATCAGGACCCTTATTATTATACTTACAATTTTCGCTTTTACCGTGCCATTGTACATGACTATTACGAGCACCTGGATCATAACAGCCCCTCATAAACCTTATTGTTTTATTTAAATACTTATCTAAACAACCGGTGCTACCCGTGAGTAGTCGTCTACGGGTGCAGACATTTATGGAGAGGCTGTTCAATTGGCCTAAAATAGGCTATTATTGTCTGTTCTTATTTCCAATGACAAGCTATGAGTTTGCGATGTACCTGGGTGTTGCTGCCCAAAATTATTTACTAATAATTAGTACATTTTAATATTGAAATCATATTTTTAATTTTAAAAAATGAAATTAATAAATATCTTATAAACACAGACGTTGTTTATAAATAGATTTTATAGTTAAACTAATAGTAGAAAGTGGGCATGTTTATATTGGATCTAATATCTCATCTGAGGGACGCCACCTGTGATCAAAATTTATTATAAAATATTTTAAAAATTTATTTTTAGTATCAATAGGATATAATTTAGAATATTAATAAATATTTAGAATATTAATATAAATTTTCCAGTGTATTAAATATTTTATATTTTGATATCCAAAATAAATTTAAAAATATTAATATATAGTTTTAAATATAAGTTTAAAAATTATTAATTTTACAAAATATCTAAACATGAATGTAAAAATAAACGCAATTTATTATTTTGTGAAAATATATGATATAATACTAGTATAATTTATTGTCAAATATTTTAAACAAACCTATTATTTATTTGAATCTAGATAACTTAAAAGCAAAATTATAAAAATGTTTTATAATTTTAAACAATATCAATCATTTTTTAAACCTAAATAACTTAACAAATACCGTAGAATTAGACAATATAACCTAGCTATTGCTAAAATTAGCTATCATTTTAAACATATAACATTTTGTATATTTACAATAATTTCAATAGTTGCATTACAATTAAAAGTGTTGTTTGTTAATTTAATATTCATGTGTAGTATTATAGTAGTTTATGAGAGAAATGCCGAGCAAGGTGATGTACCATAGCAAAAACAATTTAAAATAAATAAACAATAAATTTAGTTTTAATAATTTAAAGCACATTTTAAATAATTAAATTAGATTATAAAAATTTATAGGTATTTTATTTGTTTAAAAATTATATTTCAATGATAATTTTTATGATAATAATTGTATGTTTTGGGATGTAATCAAATAATTTAATAGTTTAACTAAATTCAATATATTAATCAAATTATTTCATCACATTTAATTTTAAAATTATTTTAAATATTTGAATTAAATATAATTAATACTCAAATGATTATTATAGAATCAAATATGAAATATTTAATTTTTAAAGTAATATTATAAACAAGTAAATATCATTTTAACCAGTGCACAATATTTTATATTTTTAAAGTTGATTAATAATCAAAGCATGTGCTTGTTTATAATTTCGGTGTTACGGTTTCGAAACCACCATTCTCGAACAAACATTCATTAGTACCGCGTATGATTTTAAAATAACCTTGCTCTCCAAACACTGTACCCCATGAGTTAGCCACCAGCCAGTAGTCGACATCATTTTCCACACCCCATCCCATAAGTTTGACGACATGTGCCCCCTCTACATCACCGGTCACGTGCTGGTAGACACCGGACTTGTAGTTGTAAAAGTCACTATAAACCTGCACAATTAATAAATAATTTAGAATTTAGTTTGTATTATTAAATAATCTTGAATGATTGAATAAATATAGTTTCCAATTAAACAATTTTTTAAGGTCACCTACTAATTGACCTACTAATTGACCTACTAATTGTTAAATTATATTATCATTACTTACTAACATTCCCGCTGAGATAGGTCCATTTGTCATGAGCTCCCGTTGAGCATCCTTTACACTAACGCCATACTGTTTACTACCAAAGTGTTTGTCCTGAGTGTAGGTGCGGTTATAGCCCTCTATACACGTGCGATTGCATTTAGGTGTGTCCACGTACTCCTTGCACGGGTGTCTCCCTGTTATCGTATAGGGTTGACACCCATTATGACTGTCTACCAGACCACCGGTGATGACACCCGATTTGATGTAGTAGTCATACACAAAGTTGGGCGCACCTCCACCACAGTCACCGGTATTACTACAGGTTAGCACATCTTGGGCCGACACCTCCACCTGTTGTTTGCTTTTAGAGGCGATGCATATGCGGTCGGATATCACCTCGGATGCCGCGAATGCCCAACATGAACCTGGTCATATTAAAAATTTAATAAAGTTTGTATAACAAACTTAATATACAGTAATTATAGTTGTTTTTAATTACCACAACATCCCTGATCCCTAATCTCCTTAACCGTGTAACAGTCCGGCCATTGTTGCCGGGGATCAAATGATTGAGGTATGTCCTCATTTGTGTCATATATAATGTCGGAGCTTGGGGCACGAGGTTTATAGCCAGATAATAGACCTAATCCTGGTCTATAATCATCTGCGAAATTTTTACCAGCCTAATATAAATAATTTTATAAAAACTTTAATTATAAAGATTATAAATAACATACTTTCCATGTTGTGTCTAAACTATTAACATAATCAATCACGTTATTAGATCCATGAGCAAGGTTAACAGTTAAAATGCTACTTAATATAACTTGAACAAGCATCATTGTAAGTATAATAATTTGTTCTTAATAACTGTTTATGAGAAAAGTTTATATACAACAATTATTATCTATCTACTTTAATTATCACTCACTTGGTGGTATAGAATACATGTGACTTTTTCTAAGAATTCTTATATTTCTAGTTTATCTGACCCTGGTGATATCATAATCATAAAATAGACTTATAAGTTCAAATAATCTGTCTACAAGATCTGACTAATACTTATTTTTTGGTGTAACTTATATTTTACACTGAACTATTCCCTAATCTCCTTAACCGTGTAACAGTCCGGCCATTGTTGCCGGGGATCAAATGATTGAGGTATGTCCTCATTTGTGTCATATATAATGTCGGAGCTTGGGGCACGAGGTTTATAGCCAGATAATATATTTCTAGTTTATCTGACCCTGGTGATATCATAATCATAAAATAGACTTATAAGTTCAAATAATCTGTCTACAAGATCTGACTAATACTTATTTTTTGGTGTAACTTATATTTTACACTGAACTATTGTTTTTTTAATTTAATAAAATTTTTATAATAATGCAAAGGCATTGTTTTCAGCTATATTATGTAAACTTATTCAAGGTTAATTACTGTAAATGGGTCATGTATCATATTTTAGATTATATTTATGTTTATAGTTCGCTATTTAACATTAATAATAAAATTAAAAGGCTTTAATTAAATTATAATAATACACTATATTTAATTAAGTAATTGTGTAATATAAATTTAATTAAAATTTAAAACAAATCACCATTATAAAAAGTAATTTTTCAATTTTATAATAAAGGCCTTATGATTGAAACATGGCAAAATATTCATATTGTTATAAAGTACAATAATAATACTTTACTTAATTAATTTTTATGTTTTAAATTATATCATGATAATAAATTTAGTAGATACATATTTTTGGAAATATATTTTATTCACATTTTCTACATTGCATTATACAATTACATAAGTTTTCTAGGTACATTTATATGCAAACATAATTTGATCTAGTTTATTCTAATTTCGGTGTAACGGCATCGTAACTACCCTCGAATCCGCACTCATTATTACCTCGCTTGATTTTAAAGTAACCTTTCTCACCAAACACCTCACCCCACGAGTTAGCCACCAGCCAGTAGTTAACCCCATTCTCCACACCCCATCCCATAAGTTTGACGGCATGGCCGCCCTTCACGGCACCGGTCAGGTGGTGGTAGACACCGGTCTTGTACGCGAAAAAGTCCTCGTAGACCTAGTTCATATTTATTACATTAATAATTATAATATATAAATTATTTTAAATGTAGGTAAATGCAAAGTATGCATACACTGAATGTAGCTGAGACAGGTCCATTTGTCATGAGCTCGCGCTGAACATCGCTAACCCTTACACCGTATGATTTACTACCGAAGTGTTTGTCCTGAGTGTAGGTGCGGTTATAGCCTTCGATACACGATTTCTGGCACTTAGGGGTCGGCACGTATGACGCGCACGGGTGGTCACCAGTGATGACGTAGGGCTGACACCCTTTCTTACTCTGGTAAAGACCACCGCTGACCACACCTGACTTGATGTAGTAGCTGAACACACTGCTAGGCCAACCCCCTTGACAAGTACCGGCCCCACCGCAGGTTAAGACATCTTCGGCTGAGACTTCTACCTGTTCCTTGTTTTTAGAGGCGATGCAAATACGATCGGATATGACCTCGGATGCCGAGAATGCCCAACACGAACCTGGTCATTTCATAATTGTATTCATAACATTATACTTTCTATAATAATATATGAGAATATTAACAAGCACATACCACAACACCCTTGGTTCCTAATTTCCTTAACGGTGTAACAGTCGGGCCATTGTTCCCGGGGGTCAAACGACTCCGGGATGTCCTCAGCGGTATCATAGATCATGTCATCGCTGGGTGGGAGTGGTCTATAGCCGGGTGCCAGACCAAGTGCCGGCTCAAATCCATCCTCAAAGTTTTTGCCAGCCTTTTATAGTAATTAAATATAAATTAGCATGGTCAGTACATGAAAATTAATGTAACATACCGTCCATGATGCGCCTAAGCTATTAATGTAGTCAATATCATTAGTACCATGAGCAAGTACCGCTAAGGTACAACTTAATAAAATTTGCAACAGCATGATTTTAGTTCTTTAATTAAAATAAACTATTTTATTTTTAATTGTATAAAGGCTATGTTTATATATAACATAAGTTATCTAGCCACTTGAATTATCGCTCGGTTAGTGGTACACAAAACTTGTGACTTTTCTGAGAACTTTATAATTTAATTGTCACTTGACACTGGTGATACCATAATCATGTTTAGTACAGTACAATACTCTATCGATAAAATGACCTTTTTAGTGTATATATATTTAATGATATTTGGAGATCTTTGTTATTTTGTAACTTTGAACTGGAACATATTTTCATGTGTATTGTGAAACTCATTCAGTTTTATCTATTTTAAGTTTAGTCACCTGTATCATTTATGTTTACTGACATATTGTGTTTTACTTAATTTTTCCAGGTGATGTTATAATTAGCCATGTTGACTGTATAGGTACCATACTTTCACGTACAGATCCATTTTTAGACTAATGTGGTTCATACTATAAGTGGCTTGTATAAGTTCCATTAGGTACGTATACGTGACCATACGTGATATATTAACATACGAATAAATAATATGTGGGATGTGCACCAGAGACAGTACTAGTTTGGTTTTATATTAAATAGGCAATCAGTTTACTTTATACGTTATATTTATATCTTATATTAAATAATAGATAATACAAATTATTATTAAATAATTGGCAAATAATATTGAATTTTAATATGTTGATTTAGTTTTTGTCATGATAATTTTGTGTTATTTTAGTATAATATTATAATTTTAAATATTATATAATATCAATAATATATGATTTTATATAATACTGTGAGCATACTAACTATTTATAGCATACTCTGTATTTATATATTTATTTTTGGTACAGTATAACCTTAGGTATTACAGTACGTAAAAATATAAATGATAGCACCGATACTGTATAGCCTAAGGTTATACCAAAAATAAATGTATAAAACACTTGAATAAATCAATATTTATAACTATACCGCTATTAATATAACATTATAAATTACTAAAATGCTTAACATGGAAATTATTTAAATGTACAATTTTTGTACGTTAAACTGCTTATAACTTGGTTTGTAATATACTTTAAAATTCAGATATATTTAATATATATGGGATTTGAACTTCATTAAATCGATAACTATATTTTATTAATGGAATTTTAGATAGCTTAATTAAAATGAGAATTTTACTTAATTAATTAAATTAGTGTAAATTAAATATTATATATTTAATATATATGGGATTTGAACTTCATTAAATCGATAACTATATTTTATTAATGGAATTTTAGATAGCTTAATTAAAATGAGAATTTTACTTAATTAATTAAATTAGTGTAAATTAAATATTAAAATTAAATTATGAAAATATTGATTAATATTATTCATAATTTATTGATTAATATTATAAAATGATTTGTTCAACCTTATAAACACTGATAGACTAAACTATTGGAAAAATGGTTATGTCTTAAATATATTTTAACTAACTTTCCATGATTAAAACAAATTTTTTATACAGTATAAAATATTACCAATAAAAAGTATAAAACAAAATAATTAACAAATCAATTAAAACATTTTATTATCCTGAAATCATTTTAAATTAATATTTATAAATTTTAATTTACCAAGGGTGCGATTACTTTTTATATTTTTTGAAATATCAATGATATATTTATGCATATTGTTTGATCAATGTAATTTTTGATATATTAAAATATCAAAATATAATTAAATATATTAAAATTTAAAAGTTGTTTCAAATATTTGGCTTAATAATAATTATTGTAATAGTTATGTCAAAAATAAATAAAAAAAATAAATTATGGAATATATTATAATTAATACAAAAATATTTAATAACATTAAAAAATATAATAATTTATAAATATAATGTTAAAGCTTATTTGCAATAAAAAATTATTTAAACATAAAACATGATAATGTTGACATTCACTAGATAAATTACATATATTTAACATTAATTATATTTACATATTATGTAAATAGTACTTATATTATAACGATTAGTATTATAATAATTAATATATATTATTTTAAATTGACATTTAATCTCTAACTTTAAGTGAAATAATATAATATTATTTAACATTTTCAAAATAAATTATTAATTTTTTATATAAAATTATTAAATGATCATGAATAAAACGGAAATTATTAGATATTTTAATTCATTTTGTGAATATAACAGCAAGATAAGGACCCTGGTCACACAAACCGAGTGGTGTTCTCAGTACTCATTTGTGACAATATCTCGAAACTCAAGCGAATATATCTTAAACTACCAAGATCAATACAGATATTATGTTTGCCTATTATGTCGAGTATTTGGATTCATAAATTGTATCCGGTTCATAATCTTGGCAATTATTAATGTGTTAATGAATTAATTTATATCACATAATAATATTAAATTAATTTCGGAAAATTAAAATAATAATTACAATTTATCGCTTGATATTTGTATTTATATTAGATTTTATACTATGTACTGGGTAGTACAGTAATTAACCTTGAATAAGTTTACATAATATAGCTGAAAACATGATTATAAAAATTTTATTAAATTAAAAAAACAATAGTTCAGTGTAAAATATAAGTTACACCAAAAAATAAGTATTAGTAAAATCTTGTAGACAGATTATTTTAACTTATAAGTCTATTTTATGATTATGATATCACCAGGGTCAGATAAACTAGAAATATAAGAATTTTTAGAAAAAGTCACATGTATTCTATACCACTAAGTGAGTGATAATTAAAGTAGATAGATAATAATTGTTGTATATAAACTTTTCTCATAAACAGTTATTAAGAACAAATTATTATACTTACAATGATGCTTGTTCAAGTTATATTAAGTAGCATTTTAACTGTTAACCTTGCTCATGGATCTAATAACGTGATTGATTATGTTAATAGTTTAGACACAACATGGAAAGTATGTTATTTATAATCTTTATAATTAAAGTTTTTATAAAATTATTTATATTTATTAGGCTGGTAAAAATTTCGCAGATGATTATAGACCAGGATTAGGTCTATTATCTGGCTATAAACCTCGTGCCCCGAGCTCCGACATTATATATGACACAAATGAGGACATACCTCAATCATTTGATCCCCGGCAGCAATGGCCGGACTGTTACACGATTAAGGAGATTAGGGATCAGGGATGTTGTGGTAATTAAAAACAACCATAATTACTGTATATTAAGTTTGTTATACAAACTTTATTAAATTTTTAATATGACCAGGTTCATGTTGGGCATTCTCGGCATCCGAGGTCATATCCGACCGCATATGCATCGCCTCTAAAAGCAAACAACAGGTGGAGGTGTCGGCCGAAGATGTGCTAACCTGTAGTAATACCGGTGACTGTGGTGGAGGTGCACCCAACTTTGTGTATGACTACTACATCAAATCGGGTGTCGTCACCGGTGGTCTGGTAGACAGTCATAATGGGTGTCAACCCTATACGATAACAGGGAGACACCCGTGCAAGGAGTACGTGGACACACCTAAATGCAATCGCACGTGTATAGAAGGCTATAACCGCACCTACACTCAGGACAAACACTTTGGTAGTAAACAGTATGGCGTTAGTGTAAAGCAATGAGTTTCACTTATTTCAAATTATGTCAACTAGTGATGTATATATTAATACTTAATTCATTTTTGGCGTTAAACACAAATTTTTATACAACTATTAAACACTAGTTATTTATACCTTTATAAGTTTTAGTCATAAGCATTACAAATATAACAGGTGAAAAATATTAAAAGTTTGTTAATCATAAAATGAGCATATACTGTAATCAAGTTCATCTTATTTTATACAAATTAATGTAGTTTTGAAAATGTGATTTAAATGTAATAATCATTTTATGATTATAAACATTGAATCTAAAAATTGTTTGAACATTAATATGTGACGGATCTTAATTGTTGAGTCCAAGTTGTGGGGTGTAGTGATCGAGTAGTTTCGAGAATTGTCTATATCTTTTGCGTTGATTGAGGTCTCGGATGCGTTTAGCCTTAGCGATGAGTTTAGACTCGAACTGTACGAACCATCAAAAACAGTAGTATAACTATTATCGGAGGCTAATAANACTAATGATTGGGGTTATCAACATTGTATCCACAATCAACCTGGCTAAGGCATATAGTTTGAGTTTATTAATGTGCACGATCATATTAGATATATGTGCTAGTATATCTATCATAATAATCGGCGCTTATGTTGTGGCTATTGTGTTATATAGTTTCATGATAACTTATTACATTAGCTATAAATTCACTGAAATATACCAATCCATAGGATTAGGTATAAAACACAATCGTATAATATTGTCGGCTATGATTGAGCACCGGTATTGGGACAGGCAGACAAAATTATGCAATAATTTTCTCAAACGAATCTTGTTCATTTTATATTACCTGGGTTGCTTTGGCATACAAATGTTATTGTATTTATTATTTAAGCCTGGTACAGTGAGATTGGCTATCATAATAGGCGTGTGTCTATTGCTAATAAATGCAATTTATTTTGCACTCATTTTCTATGTACTCGTATTGATACCAAAGGCCGCCCACAGGCCCTACAATATATTATTGTCGTATTTAGCGCGAGCACCGGTACTCTCATCACGAGTACGGCTTAAACTACTGGCGTTTATCGAGCGATTGGCTACCAGTCCTCCTATAGGCTACACATGTTATGACTTGTTTTCAGTTAATAGTTACGAAATTTTCCAATTTTTCTTTATTTGTGCCGCTAATTACACTTTAATATTAGACTTCTTTGGATAAATAATGGGAGGGAAAGGCATGTGAAAGGGATAGGGATGTGAAAGAAGTGTTCAATTAATTTAAAGTTTATAACCTTAATAGGAATTTTGTAGCATCAGTAATACGATAAAACCCTGACCAAGTATACTCTGAACTTGGTAATTCAAAAACAAGGATTGCAAGCAATGCTATCTCTACCCACATTTATAGTTAAGCTAATTTAGAATTATAAGAAAAAGAAGTCTATTGTTTAATATTTCATATATTGTTTTCAAAATTTTATCACTTTTAATATTTTCACAACAATCAACAAATTTTATGTTTTATAATGTAATAATTCTGACACTAAATATTTAGTTAAAAAATGCCTCAAAAATTTAATTCCCCTGAAATGCTACCAAATTCCTATTAAGTTTATAACCTTGTTCAAATTATTAATTACATATAAAAGTATCCTTAATATTCTACTTAAATTGGTTAAGTGATTAACACATACCATGATCAATTTTGATACTATTCATCAGCTATTAATTACTGTAACAAATGTATTTCCAAAAAAATTTTTAAAATTATTTTATGTAGGATATAATCTTAATTTATTATGTTATTAAATATTTAGTATATTAATAAATTTTTTAAAAATTATTAATATTGCAAAATATATAAACATAAATGTAAAAATGAATGTAATTTTTTATTTTGCTAAATATATTATATAAATTTATTGTCAAATATTTTAAACAATCCTTGAATCTATTAAAAGAATAATTTTAAAAATGTTTTTTAATTTTAAACAATATCAATCATTTTTTAAACCTAAATAACTTAACAAATACCGTAGAATTAGACAATATAACCTAGCTATTGCTAAAATTAGCTATTATTTTAAACATATAACATTTTGTATATTTACAATATTTCAATAGTTGCATTACAATTAAAAGTGTTTTTTGTTAATTTAATATTGATGTGTAGTATTATAGTAGTTTATGGGAGAAATGCCGAGCAAGGTGATGTACCATGGCAAAAACAATTTAAGATAAATAAACAATAAATTTAGTTTTAATAATTTAAAGCACATTTTTAATAATTAAATTAGATTATAAAAATTTATAGGTATTTTATTTGTTTAAAAATTATATTTCAATGATAATTTTTATGATAATAATTGTATGAATGAAATTTTATTCATAACGAGTTGAATAAATACAACGGGAAAATCATACAATATAAATAATTACAATAAAAACAATTTTTATAAATACATATCAATATTTTGTACAAATTCTTTGAGTAGATGAGTATTACATAATTTACAAAATTTGCAATATCTACTTTTATTTCGTATATTTTTTAGGATGTAATCAAATAATTGAATAGTGTAACTAAATTCAATATATTAATCAAATTATTTCATCACGTTTCATTTTAAAATTATTTTAAATATTTGAATTAAATATAATTAATACTCAAATGATTATTATAGAATCAAATATGAAATATTTAATTTTTAAAGTAATATTATAAACAAGTAAATATTTTAATCAGTGCACAATATTTAATAATCAAAGCATGTGCTTGTTTATAATTTCGGTGTTACGGTTTCGAAACCACCATTCTCGAACAAACATTCATTAGTACCGCGTTTGATTTTAAAATAACCTTGCTCTCCAAACACTGTACCCCATGAGTTAGCCACCAGCCAGTAGTCGACACCATTTTCCACACCCCATCCCATAAGTTTGACGGCATGTCCCCCGTCTACATCACCGGTCACGTGCTGGTAGACACCGGACTTGTAGTTGTAAAAGTCACTATAAACCTGCACAATTAATAAATAATTTAGAATTTAGTTTGTATTATTAAATAATCTTGCATGATTGAATAAATATAGTTTCCAATTAAACAACTTTTTTAAGGTCACCTACTAATTGTTAAATTATATTATTATTACTTACTAGCATTCCCGCTGAGATAGGTCCATTTGTCATGAGCTCCCGTTGAGCATCCTTTACACCATTGAGTTCCAAAAGTTAAAATCACCAAAAAATAGGGATGATAAACTAATAGTCTAATCACCTATACTTGGTAAACTTATAAATTTTTAAGAGCCTTAGTTATAACAAACTTAATATACATTTAAAATTACTAAGATATTTGTGAGGATTCTCCAGAATAAAACACTATTATCATATACACATAACTATAAAATTATAACTAAAGAATATCCCATAGAA